TACACAGAAAGATTGTATAAAGCTGGCTATCAATTTTCTTTTTCAAACTTCAAAACAGTTATTATGTGAAACCTGCTGGCTATTAACTAAGTGAACAGAATACAAATCAGTACAAACAGAAAAATTAAGACCACCAAGAATCCAACTGTTACAAATATCAATAAAACAAAGCAATATTAGGCCACAGTTTCTCAACCACAAGTCTGTCACAACCATCTTGCTGTCCCACTCCCTTTGAGAAACAGTTTTAAACAACATAATCTTTTCCTACTTTTATGCTTATTAAATACTGAATAATCATATAAAATACCTTTTACTTAACTTAAACCTACCACTAACTGCATTGAAAGGCTCGTTTTCGTGAACATCTAAAGCAGCTGCTCGAATCCGACCATCTTTTAAAGCAGAAGCAAGTGCGGCTTCATCCACAAGTCCTCCTCTTGCTGTGTTAACTAGAAAGGCACCTACAAATATCGAAACTATTATAATATCATAAAAGTTAGTCTTTACTACATAAACAGATAAAAACAAGTTCAAAAAAGAAGCTTCTTGGCAGTATTACACATGCTGGTAATTGTGAACAGTCGAGTTAACTGACAAAATAAACTATTTTTCCATTGATTTGATAGCAAATGTACATCTTTTAACTGAATTTTTACATTAAGGATAAAACTACCGAATCTTGTATTTATTTTCATTCTGTTTTTAGCTTTGAATTTTTAATCAATACTTGATAGAAGTTCTTAGCAAAATCTTCGTACATTTACGTTATAAAAGCTTGTGAATGGGAAAATAAATTATCATCAAGTGCATAAAAAATAAGAAAATTTCAACATTTCTAATATTTTTTAATCTTATTTTACCGATTTCTAGATATATACCATTTCATAAGACAGTTAGCAAATAACTTTCCCAATAATTTACTTTCTACAAGACGGTGCAGGAATAACAGCATAAAAAGTACGTAAGCCTAAAAGTACCTTACCCGGCCTCATTTGTTTTATGGTGTACTCATTAATCAGGTGGTGGTTGTGCTCATTTAAAGTGCAGTGAAGTGAAACACAGTCGCTTTGAAACAAGAGGTCCTGGAGTGTGTAAACTCGGCTTAAGCCGTAGGATCGTTCTATGCCATCAGGAAGGTATGGATCATAGAAGGTGACATTAAACCCAAATGCTTTGGCTCGTAATGCTACTGCCGTACCGACTCGGCCTAAGATCACAAACATAGGATATATTAGAATTCAAATGTAGTGTACAGCAAATTTAATTAAAAAAAAGGTTCAAGCTAAGTTATAGTAAGCCCAAAATCTTAAAATAAAACGAAACTTTACCAGTGAAACTGCTCATATATTCTTTAAAAAATTATGTATGAACAATCATCATATATCTACATCAAAACTGCCAAAATTCAAATATTTCACACCTGTTGATACTGGTATTAATAATTTTGGTTCATAAATACATAAGTTTTTGAGGAAAGCACTTCTTTCCCAGTTATTGTACAATACTCTGCAATGTGTTTTAATTTGTTTTTTTTAACAATCCCTGCTAATAGTAACTTTTCAAACCATTTCAAACAACTGTCACTTAATTAATTGTTTGCAAGATTGAGAATTTCATAGCTGTGTGAAATAAGGTTCCATAAAAAATGAAATATATAAGAATAATATAAAGACATATAATTAATAAATATTTGTGAATACTAAAACAAAAAGAAAGAAAATATCAGGTTTAATTGAAAAATATCCTCACACAAATATACGAGTTTAAGTTTGTTTACACAAAACATTTTATACATATATTTAAATAAAACTATAAAGTCTGTTTTTTTACAAAAGTTGTATAAAAAAAACAACAACCTGAAGTATATTTCTACATGAATATGTTAATGAAAGGTTGCAACTTAAAACCACAGAGAAAAGTTATATAATGGGTCCCAAATGAGTTTGACGAAAGAACAAAAACGTTAAAAATGTTTCGTTTCTTTAACACTAAAAGGTGTGACACTTAATACTATAAAAAAAAAGGATGTAAAGTCTTAGAGTAGCTTCCATACAGAAACGGCTATAGCCTTATACTGCACTACTCTTACCTAACCCTACAATACCCAGCGTGTCTCCCCTGATTCGTGCACAGCCTTGTGCTGCCTCTCGAACCTGTTCCGGTCCCTGAAACTTTTTTCCCTCCCTCAACATATTTGCCAACCAATAAGTTCGCCTGTAAAGATTGAGTACGAGGCACAACGTAGTGTCAGCAACTTCTTCTACTCCGTAACCAGGAACGTTACTCACTGCTATGCCTGAAATCGAAACAAAAATAAACACACTTATAAACCATAAAAAATATCTAAAAAAAAGTATGATTAAAAATAAATTGGAATAAAGATTATACTTTTGACAGATGAATTAGTTTGTTTTCAGGATGAGAAAGAGAATGTTATGGACCTGAATAACTTTTTAATAACCCTTAATCTTCTGGACTAAAGTCATTACCAAGATCTCATGAGGGTCTGTGAGACAGGTTATGGATGTTACATGAAACTGCATCACCTTCTGACTTGTGAAGAGGATTCATTGCTTCCATGGCTTCAATTCCACTTCAATTTCTATATTCCATGTATAATAAATATAATTTGAACTTTTGCAGTTCCTTGGAGATTTTACTCAAAAAAAAAACATTTTGCAAAAATACCTAATCATATGACACACTCAGAGTGGCTTCCTTTCTTACTATTGAATAGTATAGAAGGCATGTAAAATGTGTGGGAAAAGTTAAACCCTGAAAAACACTACATACAAGTTGTTCCAAGCTCCGCACAAGAGTGTAGATCGGTAGTTCTCATGTTTTCGATCTCGGCAAACCACAGTTGGGTCTATACACTATGCTACTGCTACCTATCTGTACTTATACAATCTTTCCACGGACCACTGATTGGTGTACCTTATTTTAAGACCATTCTAAGCTAGATATTGTTCCAAAACTTCTATTAGTATCAACATCACCTAATTCTAAATTCTCATCCTCCTTTAATGTTATGTACAAAGTCAGTTAGGTACTAACAAGTTGATTTATAGCTTCTTCACAGCACAAGAAGCTTATTTTTATTGAAATATTTACAGGTTATTATTTCTTATGACATGTTTAAAATAACATGTTACACAAGATGGCTAAAGTGAACACACATTCTGTTTGTGGGAAATGATGTTTCTTCTGATGTGATGCTTTTACAAAAACTGTAAAGATATTAATTATTAGAAGGATGTAGGCTTACAATGTATACCAGGTTTTTTGGTTGGTTTTGAATTTCGTGGAAAGCTGCACGAGGGCTATCTGTGCAAGCCTTCCCTAATTTAGCAGTGAAAGACTAGAGGGAAGGCAGTTAATCATCATCACTTTCCACCAACTCTTTGGCTATTCTTTTACCAACGAACAGTGGGATTAACCATTATATTATAATGCCCCTACAGATGAAAGAGCAAGCATATCTGGTGGGACAGGATTTCGAACCCGCGACCCTCAGATTACGCCCTAACCACCTGGCCATGCCGGCCTTAGTGTATACCAATTAATAATACTGAATGCATTACAAAAACATACCTACTTCCTCATTGTTTTTATTTCAGTTACAAGCAACCCTTTGAAGGTGTTTCAATCTAGGGACAAACTGATAATTCTTTTGTATCAATTCATATTTACCATGTCTACAAAAATAAAAATATTACTCCGTGGTTACTGACCTTTAATAAATTATTTTTAAATATTTCTTTTTTCAATTTTAAAACTACATTTAGAAAATTTATGGTACAATTAAAGGTTATTGAAATGCTGAAACTGAGATTGAAAATTATGTCACTGAAATTTAATTCAAATAGGCTAAGCTACGAGACTGAATTTATTATAGCTTACCCGTTTCTTTGTATACACTGTATAATTAGACTTGCAAGGTACTTTAATTCTATATAGTGTATACAAGTTATGTCTAATATCTTGATTCATCACTTGCAAATTAACAATTTTAATATTTCTTTTACCTAACTTGACCCCTAACCCTTTAAAAAAAGGGCAATGTGTATGGTCATCTATTAAGATTACTGACAAGTCAGTGATACAAAATATTTCAAAATAAATTACTAAAAATAAAATCTTTAACACAAATTAATTCCGCTTACCAAGTTCACCTGCTGCCTTGATGTCGATATTATCTACACCAGAACCAATACGAACTATAATGCGCAAAGCTTTGAATTTTTCAAGATCTTCTTTAGCTAGTGTGATAGTATGCCACATGAGGGCACCCACTGCTTCATTCAGAACCTGTAAAAAATAAATAGAAAATTCCTAAACTCTGAGACAGATAATTATTTGATTTACAAACATTTCAATATAGCTTGTATAAACAAAAAATATCACACTTGTTGTAATTTGAATTTTGAATGCGCGGAACAGAAGCATCATTAGTATAACTGTACAGAAATGTAACCACTGAAGTCAGAACAGAAACCGAAAATCATTTTATTCTTGTGCTGAAAATTTTAGATAAAATACTAATGTTAATTATAAAAGGTTATTTTCAGTAGGAGAAAAAAAAGGAAAACCAGATATTCTGGTGAAGAATATAAGTATTCAGTACAAATTATAGATAGTCTTTCACTAGGATCTGCTTATGTTACCAAGAAAATGGGGTGGCAATTACACACTAGTCAAATTAAGCAAGCTGCCTGGTTTTCAAGTTTTTATTTAGTTCTTAAAAACACATCTGACAAGAGGAAAACTGATGGATACTTAGATTTGTACAAAAAATAATATATTTAGTTAATCAGGTTGGAACTCGTAAGTTAACTGCAATGTCGTATCTCACAAAAGCTTTCCAGGAACACTGACTAAAAATTTTATGAACCAGCTTAAAATTTCATAACAGCATGGTTCAACAAAAGAATATTAAAAATAGTTTTATCAATTCTAATCAACTAAGAACATTTTAAAAGAGTAAAGTTATCTGTATATTTTTATATAACTTTTAATATCAGTTTAAGTTGCATCTTCTTTACAAAACTATTCTATCTACAATTCAAATTAATGGAACTAAGGTGCAAAATTTTAGCTTTACGTTATGAAGTTACTCACTGGAAAAATAAGGATTTGAAAAAACATTATTCAGAATTACCTCTACAAGCATAAGACACGTACACCTATGTATGAATATAACTAAAATTTAAAAACTGTTCTTTAGTAATAAATAACTGTGCACCAGTACTGACCCTCTTTTTCAGCTCTAGTAAAATGCAAGTCTAAAACCTACAATTACTTCACAACATAGAGATTATAATTAATCAAATATCATCAAGAAATCTTTATATAAGGAACTGCATAATCAAGAGAACAAAAAACACTAAATTATGTAGCTACATAAATTAATTCGTTAAGACAATGTGGCCAGCTATTTCTGATATAACTGTGAAGGTATGAGATGTAGATGTATAATTCTAAGAACGTACGAGTGTATTAGATCAATCTTACGCTACATCGCATGTTTTACACATTACTAATCCACAGTTAATTTCACTTAAATAAAATTGAATATTTATTTTTACTTTTTTTTTAAGATATTAGTAAAATCTCAATATAGATTATGAAAATTTCAGTACTGAAATTGGGATTTTAATTTCTAGTGATAACTTACCGTGTAATCTACCAATCACATTTTGAGGCTGGAGAGAAGAATGTTGTAATAAAAGACTCAATTTTGAACATCAAATTTTTTTCCCCTTCAGTAAATATTTACAAAGTAATGTAAAGCTGTCTAAATGTACAAGATCATATACAAACACAAAGTTCACATCTGAACTATAATTTATTTAAAGTGCTTCAGTAAAGCTTTTCTTACAACCAGTTTCATTTATATGTCAATATTCAGGTAGGCCTATATATCATAACATTAAATTCTATATCTGTTACAACATTAGTCTTCTTTCTGTACGAAAAGGTTCAATAATATTTTCATATATACGCATGCAGAAATGCACACACGTATTAACACCTTAAACCCGAGCGGACACTGACAGCATCCATCTGCAGATCCCCATTGGACAGAGAAAGCATCCGATAAAATTTATGTCTCTTTGGCTGAAAACTAATCCAAACCATGTTATTGTCCACAAAATGAAGAAAATTCAACTTTTATATGGTTTGGTAATAATTATTACGGAATCACGAAAATAATTCAAGCAAAACATGCATAAAATTACAGGTTTAAAGATTTAATAAATATAACTTGAATGTAAACACAGCTCAATGTATCTCATCTATGTAAGAATTACTTGCTAAAAATAAACATAATTTTATCAGGCTTAGGTTAACTGTATTTGACACAAATATATTTTTTTTACTGCATTCTAGACAATGTAGACTGAGCTCTCCTAAGTAATATCCTTCAAAATGTATGTATCTGTGAACTATTATTCAATGTATATTAATCAAATTACACCTGTCACACTACATACTTTTAGGTTAACTTGTCCTTGAAACGTTTTGGTGACTAGTCAGATGTTGCTTGACTACATCAGGGCATAAAACTGCTAATTGATATGCAGCTTGTGGCTTCTTTCCAAAATGTAGTTTGCTTTCACATATCTCAACATTACACTTTTTGTGGTACAAATACATAGGACTATTAGCCATTGAGCAGCTTTATATGGGAAAGAAAACTTGTATGATTTGCAACACTCATTTCAGTTTTCTTAGTTGTAAACAACAAATAAAGTTTTTAAGTTTTTCCTAAGTTACTTGTTTTCTAACTGTGAAGGTGGAGAATAACTACAAAAATATGTACTTTATTAAAGATAGTACATTTTTTTTATGACTTTAATGTGTTTTTAAGATACTATTCAAACTTTTTATCTTTTCAATGTGCTCATTCTGAGCATAACTTTAGGACTAGAGAGTTAACTCTGAAAATCATTTTTACTGTTTCTTGAAATTAGATAAAAAGGATCAATAAAGAATAATTTAAATGTTCGAGGTGATTTGTTATGAACTCGTAACATTGAAAAACATAAAATTCTCAACAGAACTTTAATAAACAGTTTGATATAGTATCTATAATATCTTCATTATTAAACTATTTGAAGATTAGATATTCTCTAGATTGGTATAGAACTCTGTGTGTGTGTGTGTGTGTGTGTGTGTGTGTGCATCTGTCAGTCAACATGAGCTTATTACTGCATAAAATAAAAAACTCTAAAGCAATGCTGCAATTTTATGTCTAATAATTAGTCTTACTTGTATACCAGATGAAACATCCAACCAATCCATTAAAACTAAAACATCAATGCCACACCTTTTTACTCTCTTTCTAAGGGAACATCTCTTTAGTTGTATACTGTAAGATTTAGTAAATGGTTCGTGCTAAGCGTTGCTAAACTTAGTACCTTTTCGTGAATCTCCTGGGTGGACTGTGCATCACAAAATGCCACTGTTGCCACATCCTTCAAGATGGGCATCTCCACAGAACAGTCTCGGCCATCCAAGAGTGCCACAAGAGGCCTGGTGTGCAGGGGGCCATTGGCTATAGGACCACGTGCACCTACTGAAAAGTCACACAAATAGACACGGAATTTAAGAATATGCAAGAACTACAAATTATATTTTTAAAGCTTTGTTCAAATTAAACTCATTCAGTAAACTGGATCGATATGTTTTTACATTAAGTACTTATAAGATTAAGTTTTCAAACATCAAAACAAAATAAAAGAATATCAAGTATTAAAGATAATAAACACACAAAATCTTTTAGCAAATTGTTGGAATGAATACTTTTATTCAAAACGTTTACTTTCCAAGATTCTCAATTACTAATATTTTCTTGTGCAGTTGAGTAAAAAAAATAACGTGTCAAACGAGTTTACATATACTAACTTGGAGGATTATCCATACGTGGCCTTTTAAGAGGTTTCTTTTTATCCATATGTGGGGACCAGGCGTTGGCAGGCGGGCCACCCTGCGGTGAGATTCCCAGTTGCAAATCAATGGTTGCGGTTTGAGTTGGCCTCTTTTCCTTATCAAAGACTGTCACAATGAACAGTTACCTGAAGCTGGGTTGATGAAATATTACACTAAAATTAATCCATTCACATAACATTTACACAACTATTTCATTAACAAAACTCAAAAATTCAACCAGTGTTTAATATATTCTGAAGTAAGAGCAAAATGTTATTCCAAATAAGAGTTTAAAAAATAAGGGGGATAATTTTAAGATTTTGGGTGATAGAAAAAGAAAGGCCATAAGTTGTGGAAGAGATGTAAAAAGAATTATATATATATTGATCATTGTTTTGTTACTGAAGCCATGCCACTATGGTGCTGTTGTCAACAAGACAGAAATGATGAAGAATGAGGGAAGTATTTTAGGGGCCTTGATTAAGGTAAAAGGAAAAAAAAATTAGTAATTTTTTTAAAAAATATTCACTCCACCCCCCAATTCAAAATCAGAAAGACCATAAGATACCATGAAATTCTTTAAGTATAAGAAAGATCTTCAAGAATTATTTGTCTCTTGAATTAATAAAATAAAAACCAGACAAAATCACAGTTTGAAAAATAATTTCCAAGACTGCTTGACATTCAGTTAACAGTATATAAACAGCTTTAGTAGCTTGACTATGAAGGTAGGATGAAATGTTATTATTCATGGGGTTTATTGAAATTCGTTCTCATTGCTTGATTTGTAAAAATCTACTTCTATTATAAAGGTAAGTTTTAAACTATTTTAAAAATAGAGTGTAAATTAAGTTAAACATTTTCCAGTTTGTCTTAAAACAAACTTTACACTACCAAAGAAGTAAAAATTACCTGGCTTATGAAACAAGAATACTTCACAATTTCATTTCAGATATTTAATAATAATAATAATAATAAATAAATAAAAAAAAGAAAAAGAAGAAAAAAGAAGAGACCGTGTATTTTTAGTTTGTTTTTTCATAATTATACTGCTCTTTGTCAATCTTGTCTTGTTCCATTGTAAATAAATGATACAACCAAAAAGATATAGTTTGTTGTGAAGATTTTTATTTTAATGAAGGAAATGTCTGGTCACTTTTTTTTAAACATACATAGTTAATATTCCTACAAAATTGTTTTATAATAAACATGCGGACGAAAAATCTCTACAACTGTCGTAGACCAGAAATGTACAAATGGACCAAAAACATTCAAAATAACTTTCATGAGTTACTCTTAAGTTAGAATATTGTTTACGGAGAAAGAGAGGCCAATAAGTACACTCAGAATTGC